TTCCATTTCATTATTTTAAACATGTGGACTGTTACTATTACCAATCACTAAAACTGGGAAGTATGGAAAACTCATTTCCTATTACAATGCTTATATGTGAATAGCTACTACAGTGATTTTGGAAGTGCTCAGAATTTTTAGTAGAAAAAAAAAGAAAAACATTTCTCCTGTCAGTTTGCTTCACAAATGCTTTTTTCTTCATAATAAAGAAGTTTCAAAGAGCCGGGTGAGGTGGAACAAGCTTGTAATCCCAGCACTCAGGAGGCTGAGGTAGGAGAATTGCTGTGAGTTTGAGGCCAACCTGGGCTACAAAGTGAGTTCAAGACCAGCCTGAACTGCATAGTGAGACCCTGTCTGAAAAAGACAAAAAAAAAAAAAAAAGAAGAGGAAGTTTCAATCCAGCATATAAGATTGGCATCAATGCATTTTTACTGTACTTCTACAGAGCAGGTTCAGCAATCTTCCTTATAACCCATATGTACTTTATTAAAAAGTCACTCTATAAAATACACTGGAATATCAAACAATCTGAATACAAAATATCAGTTGTGGGGCTGGGGATTTATTTCAGTGGCACAGCACCTGCCTGGCAAGCATGAGGTCGTGAGTTTGATTCCCAGTACCGCAAAAAAACAAAAAAACAAAAACAAACAAAAAAAAACCCCAAAACAAAAACAAACAAAATAGCAGTTGTGAGATGTACTAACAATCGTGAAGTATACTAAGGTAACTAAGATATATTCATTAGTATACCTCAAGATGTACTGGTCAACTATGAAGGTTATATTTGTCAAATTTATATATGAATGATGAATTTTTTCTGTCACACATACAGTGGAATTCTTGTAGAATTTTTTTTGCAAAATGCCTAGTTTTAGCAAAAGATTTTTAGAGTAATATAGTATACTTCATTTGTCTCTGCTTTTTTGTACTGCCTTAAAATTCTTTTCAGGAACATTTGGGAATAACCACATACTAAAGTAATTTCATTTCATATAAATATACCTTCTTTTCTGCATCTTTAAAGTGGAAAATTGACCAATGTTAATAAATGGAAATAAGTGTGTAAAAGGTGACTTAAAAAGAAATCATCTTTCCTTTTCTCATGGCAATTAGAAAGGACCTCACTTGAATAGGCCTTTATTCAACTCATACTTTTTTCTGATAAATAGATTTAGATAAATCTTAACAAATCTCTTCAGTAAATTATTTTAAACACAATGGAATTTAAAAGACATAATTAATATGACTCCTAGGTCTCATGAGCATGTTAAGTAAGACTACCACAGCAACTTTTAGATAACCAGCCAAATACCTGTCAGAAAAACTCTATTCATCAAAAAGCTTTGTCCAAAGGATGGGGCCAATTGTTCTCCTTCTACTGCACTTCTATCCAACTCTGCAGATTCCAATCATATCGCTTCCCCATGTGGTGTGCCATGCAAGAAACAAATACTGTTAAATACTTGAGTAACTCTGCCTCAGGAAACTTAAAAATAATAAACCTCATACCTTTTTTGGTTGGTATGCAAACATGAAGAAATGTTTTGTTTCAAACACTTAAAAATCCACAAGTAAATCTTATCAATATAGTAATAAAAACCACTACATCTTTAAAAGGTGTAGAAGTTTCATTGAAAACCTTATAATCTTCAACATTACTAAGATCCTAACATTTAATGTTAAAGGACAGATAATAATAGCAACATTTATAGAACGTTCAGCTCAGTGTCAAAGAGGAAAACAAATTCTATACTACTGATAAACCAGAAACCAAATCTAATCTCTTACTGAGAATTCAAAGTATCCCTATAAACATTTTTATAGGATTTAATCCAATATCTCTTTAATTTTACTCTTTCCTTATCCTAAAAATCTAGTATGTTCACACAAGTGCAACCACTACACAAGAGAAGGAGGTAACCAGCTTAAACATTAGTGCTAATGAACTTTGCATTATTACTACAGAACACCAATAAAACACTAAAAAACACTAGTGAAATTAAAATAGTAGTAGATATTGAGTTTTCAAAAAGTCTAACAATCAGGGTACCCTATGTACTTTATCGTAAGTTATAGACAACATATATAATTTAACCATCAATATTAGTAAATTACCATGACTCTTACTTGTGGATTATATACGTACATCCACACATATATCCATTCCAATAACACATCAGAAGACAGACCTAGAGCCAGCACGGCCCAGACTTCCTCCAAGATCTCATACTTTATTATGCATCAAAATCACTAGGAGACCTGCTTAAAACAAATTGCTCGTTCTTGCCTCTAGTGATACGCAAAGATCAAAGGGGAGGGAGGAGGACTAAGCAGTACTAGGGAAGGAGGCAGAAAACAGAGGGAATTCAGGTTATTTCCTTCCATCGCGATGTTTGCCCTTCAGGTTCCTGGTTAGCAAAATCAATCAACAAAGACATCTCCAACGACAATCTACTAGGTCACCATACAAACTTTTTCATGTTGAAGATTCCATAACAAGTTTTAGAGAAATGATCATGCCAGAAACTCTTTAGCCTTTCAGTAACCCTAGACAGGACTATTTTCAAGAGATGGAAGGTGCAAAGAGAGCTAAATTTTTATATATACTACATTAAAAAACTAATATTCACCAGTAAAACCTGAGCTGGCAATGGTAATCAATCAGCAATCCCTAGAACATGCAGAGATCAACATTACAGAAACATGTAATTGTGTGTGCAATCTGTCAAACAAGTACTAAAGTTTTATTTAAATGAAAGGGTTTTTAAGCTAATAAGCCATATAAAGGGAAAACAATTTTATTAGAACTTGAACAAACGTTGCACAAAGAAAACATGTTAACAAAATAAAATGGTGGCATAACAAACAAAAAAGAATGGCCCAAGATGTGTAAAAGAAATATAAGGCAGGAAAATGTTAAATATCTCATGATCCAGTGTGGAAACAGGCTAAGCTTAAAAATCATGGGCTTAATAAAGCACAGAGTTAACGGTAGAGGTATCCTAACCAAAGACTTTCAGCAAAACTTTAAAAGGTGGAGTTATATTTTACAGTACTTGATACCTTATTTTTAGTTTTTTTTTCCCCACAGAAACAGATTTTTTATACAATTCCATCCTACAGTTGACAAAGTTTAAGAAGTTTAAGCACTGAGAAGTAAGTATTCTACTAACTGAAATGACAAGTGAAGCAAAACAACTGATTAGTTGATTCAACCAAAACAAATTTTAAGCAGTTCAGAAGTCTCTAATGCCCAAGGAACACCTCTGCCCAGGCTGATTGCCATAAATGGGAATCATGAATCAGTAACCATAAAGCACTCTCAAGGATAAATACAGGATACAATGAGTTTTGCCATTTATAACATGATAGTTTGTCACCATTTCAGCTTATCAAATGCCAGAATTCACCTACAACAAATTATTTAAATGTATGTCCCCATCTTTGCAATTTATTTTTAAATATTGATACAGCATACAGAATATACAACTGTATATTCCTTTTTAAGGTGACCACATCAACCTCATATAGAACAAACCAATTTAAAAACAGTAATATATTTCAAGAACAGGACTGAGTATTTCTCTATCAGTTTGTTCTTCATACAAAGATACACTCTTTCTAGTACAGATGTGTATGGAAAATTAACTTGAAAACATTTTAAAGGATTGTCAAGACGGGTTTCTGCTCAATTCTTACGTCACATAAAAGACATAATATTTCACATTTTTGAAAGTCTTAATACAGTTGTATGTTTTTATAAACACCAATAGGCAAAATTGTTAAATGCTTATGAAAAAATAGTTAAGCCCTTTTACATTCAGAATATTTGAAATTTATTCATACAATATGCCAAATTCAAACTTAAAATGAGGTATATTTGCTTGTCAAACATTAAATATCTAGCAAATATATAGTACCATGAATTATTTCAAGTTAAATTCACAGGCTTGCTTTTTGTTTTGCTTTTACCTCTCAGATAAAACATTGCCATGTCTTTAGATCTGGCATCTAATTAAAAAAAGGTCACTCTGTATAACAGTTGTAAGAACATAAGATGAACGTATTTTTGTAAATTATTTTTAAAACATCTTAGGTGGCATTACCAAACATTAGATTTATTTTAAAGACTGTAATCTAAATATTTAATACGGGGTTTTCAAAATATACAGTGAATGTTTAATTATTATAAGACACATTGACATTAATCCCCCTAGCTTCAAACACACTTCTCCCATCATTCTTGCCAATTTCTGCAGCAGTTCGAGAAGTCCTCTTTTGTGAGTTCTTTACTAAGTATGATCAAAACATACAGTGAGTGCTGCTGTCAACTGCCATCCAACAGAAAGGCAAGTTCATAAAAACATTACAATGTGTCCCCTCCACCTTATTCACCAGATCAGGCTTCTGGTTCTTCCCCAAAGTCAAAACTACCATGAACGGTAAATATTTTGAACTAATTTAGGCAGTGATAACAGCCCAACTAAAGACATTTATGATACAGAAGGGAGGAATAATGGCAATGTGTCTTTTTACTTTAATAAGTGTTTTTAATGTAAATATTCACTGTGTTTTTCAATCATACTTCACATACTAGTGATCACATATGCATCAACAACTGCAGAAGGGGAGCACTTTATAATGATCTTATGAAGTATTTACGTAACTGAAAATGTTTATCTGAAAAACCTACACTGCCAAAATTTGATTCAAAGTTTTTCATTTTGATTGCATGGGCTTCAACCCACAAAACCATGAGGAATAAATTGCTTGGTCAGGATCTTGTTAATTTTAAGAAGAAAAATTTCAGAACCAAAATATGCACACGATGAAAAATATTAACTCTGAAAGTCATAGCTAAAGATTAAATCACCCTGTCCAGCAAGTTCCAAAAATGTCACACATTTCAAACATTAAGGCAACTTTTTTCCAACTGAACAATACTTTATAAAAATATATGTCACTTCAAAACATTATATATACACAGTGACAATAAATTTAGCTAGCTGTAATCTTTAATATATTAATAAAGTGTCACATATTATGAAGAAATTATACCAGGTGCTTGCCATGTATGCACAAGTTACAGTTTTTAAAGTACAGGTTTTAAAACTGAGCGTAGTGAACGTCCTTCTTTAGTGAGTTCTCGAGTCACACACATACATGGCAATGGAATGGCTTCCTCTCGTTTCTCAACAATATTGTAACTGCATTTCTTCAAGTGGTCAGCCATGCTTAAGATGTCAGCAAATTTCCATTCATTAACGGAACAAAATGCAGTACTGAATCGCCATACCTAGAAGAAAATTCTACATCAGATTTAAAAAGTCAACTTACAGAGTCAAAATGCACTTCTTGCTCTAAATACACATATTTCTACTGTTAGGGAAACATCCAATATACTTTCAAGTAGTGAGCTATAAAATTAAAAAGATCCACTTAAACATGTATCAGTTTGTCTAATATTTATAAGCCAACTCACTTATGTGAAACAATGACTTCAACAAATAACTAAAAAAGAAAAAATGTAACATTAAAAATCATAGCAAACCTGGTTTATTGAACAATTTTTTTTTTTTTTTTTTGGTTTTTCTCCGGTACCGGGAACCGAACTCACGACCTTGCGCTTGCCAGGCAGGCGCTTTGCCGCTGAGCTAAATCCCCAGCCTCTTGAACAATTTTTTAAAAATAGTAACTTCAGGAATTCAGAGCCACTTCTTAAAATATATTCTGCATACTTTTTTTTCCTCTTGTCCAAATGGTTTGTACAGAACTATCTGCAGTCTGGAGATAATATCTGAGAAAAAGATATGGTATCTTTTTCTCACCAGGCTTTTGTCTGATTCCCATCATACAAAATGTTTTAAAAATATCACAGAATACTGTGTAATAAAGGTAGCTTATCTTTCTACTTTCTACGCAGAGTAAAGGTACCTAGGAATACTTAAAACATAGGTATTTTCATGTTTCTGAAAATGTACATGAAAAGAACTTATACAAACAGTTCCTACTTTATGAGTTTCTAGGCACAATATTCACCCATCACCCTGTTCATGTGTCCACTGGTAAAAATATGGCCTGACTCCCTTTCTTACCCAGTGAGCAGCTTCAGGTCCTGAGGCACTATCATCTTACTAGTTAAACAGTGACTGCTGTGTCCCTCTCTCATCTTTACAATAAGAAAACATAAACCTACTAAACATAAGTAAAATGCATGAAGGCAGATGAGGGGAGACACAAGGTAACAAGCACGGATGGGACAGGACAGGTCTAGGTGTCCTGGCTAAGTTCATAAACAGGCAAATATGTACAGATTATAAGTGTCTCAAGTATATGTGGGGGCCTGGTCTCAGGATGCCCTGAGGACAGGAAATTCTGTGAATCCGGTGTAAAATGACATAGTATTTGCATAGAAGCTGTGTATCTACCCACAAACTTTAAATTGTCTCTAGATGACTTAAAATACTTAATACAAAGTAAATGGCAGGATGCTGCACTGTATTGCTTAGGGAATGACAATGAAAAAGGTCTACACATGTTCAATACAGACACAATTTTTTTCGATCCACAGTTGGTTGAATCCAAACATAGACCCCACAGACATAGAGGGTTGACTACACATGGTTAAACAGAACGTACTCTAGAAAGTAGCAGTATTTTGGGAGAAGGCCTCAGCACACATTACAGTTTCTCAATAAAGAATGGTAATGACTTCTTGGGTGGTCAGATGCTTATATACACAAAGTGTGAAAGACACACTGTGATTTATCCTCCTCAAAATACTCTCCCTTGCTTTGTACACTTTTCCCATTGTTCTTGCCACTTTCTGAAGCAGTGCTGGAAGTCCTCTTTCATAAGTGTCTTTAGTTGTGCTGTCGAAGCTGCCTTGGTGTCCTGAATCAATTCTAAACATTTACATTTCATAGTCATTTTGACCTCGGACAACAGCCAGAAGTGTACAGTACCAGATATAGTGAATAAGGTCCATCTTATGAATAAGGTGGATGAGACCCATAGTGATATTTTTACAACCATGCCTTTCTGTTGGATGGCACTTAGCAGCATCTATCACGTTTTTATCATTTTGTAAAGACACAAACACTCCCACATACTGTGATTACACCTTGTAGTGTTCTTGAGTTTAGTACAGAAAACAGCCAGTTTATAGACGTGTGAGTAACCTGAGTAAATGATGGCAATTTAAACTTAAAGACCAGATGTTATCTATGAAAGAAAATATTCCACTCTATACTTTAATACTATGGATAAGAACAAAAAGAGGTCATGCATAAAATGTTCTGTCCCAAAGGAAAGAAAGGCACCAAATTTTCTGGAATATGAAAAAATACACAGCTGGTAAAATTTTCTGCCACCAAAATTCCTTTTAAGAAAAAAAAATCAAATAATTTGTGTCCTTTCAGGGGTCAAAGCCTCATAAAATAGAGAAGCAGATGCAGAATTCTGAAAAAATGAAGTGATAAGTAAAACACAAAATCTAACACTAAGAAAGTAACCAGAATTTTGAACACTGTAATCAAAATTGTTTCCAACTTATAAAACGTAATGTTTTATATTATGAACGTTTTAAAACTAAAAAACACCTTCAATCACAGGTATCTGTAATGCCTTCTAGTTCCCACTGGATGGTCCCTACAATAAAAGCTAGAGAAGAACAGGGTATCGTAGAAGCCAGGCCAGCACAAGTTTCCAATATGCATCATTCCTGGGTCTGTACTAGACTCTCTATCTACAATATCAGATTCTACAGCCCTACTCTTAAGACATTTCCTCATCCATTCATTTATGTTCCCGGTACCCTAAATACTCCCTTAGTCACTTATTAATATGACTGTAGCAGTAGCTGCAACATTTTTTCATCTCTTTGTTTTTTTTTTCCCGGTACCAGGAATCGAACTCACAACCTTGCACTTGCCAGGCAGGTGCTGTGCTGCTGAGCTAAATCCCCAGCCCTCACCTCTCTTTATGTTCCATATGAAACAACCAAGTTCCAGAAAAGAAACTAACTGCTACGAGTGGAAACTGATAACTGTAAGGAAAAACCCTCTCCCTATTTCCTCCATTGTTTTATGGTGAAGCTGCTTCAAGTAGAGCACAAATTAGGTAACATGGGCCCAAAGCTGTTACAGCAGAACTTAAGTACAGAACTGATCCTCTGAAGAAAAAGAAGTGGCCTTTGCCATACTACATTAGAACCTGTATCTATGGAATCTATACTGTCTTTGATCATGACAATTCTAAATATTCTAATTCATTACTTATCATTTTTATATATGCTTTATCATATTTTCTTAAGTTTTGGGAGTTGCTCAATTTCTAAACAAAATATTAATTCAACATACTTAGTAGATGTCTATGTTGAATAAAAGACTGACACAATTAAGTTTAAACTAACCTTTTCCTTTATCTGCCACGATGAATTTCCTTCTGGATACTTCTTTTTCCCCCACTGCAGTATGACCATTCCACGAGACTGAAGCAGACTGCCACACACATCCCTCATTAATCTGGACACACATGAGAGCTGGCATAAACTGAAGCCATCAAGAAAACCTGCAATATGTTGTAGGACCTCAAAAGGAAGACTACTCAGATGGTCACTGTGTAATCCCAACAGACAGTTTCTAGCAGGCTCTACTAATACTGTAGATACACAAGGCTGAACTCCAAATGACCTCAACTGGCGGTCATGTATAATTTTTGCTCCTTGTGTCGATGGACAAAATCTTCGCTGAGAATAGGTACAACCATAATAAGCTAGAGGACACCTCTGTTCCATCCAGCCATTGAGTCCAGCATGAATGTCACCATGCACATTCTTAAAATGTGAAGAAAATTCTTTTCTTCTAAATAACTGTCCACACACAAAGGTAAACATTGAACGCTGCTTAGGCTGGTATCTAGCAACACATTCCAATACTAAATCCAGTCCAAGAGTCTGAAAAGGACTTGGATTTGAAAGCTGTGGATTGGCATGATCACAAGCTGAAGCAGAAGCTATTTCTCCAACCATGGTATTTGTAGCTAATATTGCAGATGGAAGTGAAAAAGTCTGTGTCCCAAAGTCAATGTGATACACATCAACCATACGACTATCAGATATACCCCTCCCTCCTGGAGAATCTCCTAGACAAAACAGTAAGGCTGCTGTAATCAGATCTATTCCTTGGAGGCCCATGGGATCTTCTGCCACTTCCAAGTCTGATGTATCTACTGCTTTATCTTCCTTTGGTTTAGACCAACACGAATTAGAAAGAAATTTGAATGAAGGAGTATGATTGAAAGATAAGACATCCACACTTCTCAAGTCCCCTAAGTCTACTTTTCTCCAGCACAGTTCTCCTTCATCTTCACCATCTGGCATGAGGATATGCTGAACTGTGCCATTAGGCAAAGCACTGGATGGTATTACTTCCCTAAGTTGTGCTGCTAATGAAAGTGAACTGGAAGGTTCTGAAGTACCATCTGATGCCACACATTCTCCATTTGTTAAGTTACTCTGTTGATCCTGGTCTTTAATCTGTGGACACATATTTTCCAAAGGAAAGCCATTACAAAGAGCAGAAGTGCCATAAGAACTTGTATTCAAGTCATACAATAAATCACTGGAACCATTTTGTTCAGACTGGGCATTCTGGCTTGTGCCATTATGGTCAATTCCACCTACTGCCCCTATCATCTCATCCTCATAAAGATGGTCCTGGTCTTTTAAGTTTCTAACTTCTAAGCTTTCTGGGGCATTTTTTTCCTCATCTACTTCCTTTGGGGTACCACAAAGACTTGTATTTAACATGCTAATATCTCTTGTGGCAGTATTCAGGATATCTAAAGCCGCAGCCAAACTTCTGGTTGTTTCTACAGTAGCTTGATAAAGTGCACCATAAGATTCTTCATCAACAGACACCAAACCATTCGTATGTGGTATTTCTGGGACACTTGATTTAACTGGTATTTGTTCTCTAGGTTCGGATACTTTATCCGTTGCTTTTGACATCATAGTGGCTACTTTGAGAGATTCTAAGAGCATCCTCTGGTCTTGAAGGGCCAAGGCCATATCTAATTGTGCCACTTCATCAACATCTCTGCTTAAATTTTCATATGATTTCCGGTCTGCATAACTCACTGGCCATCGGTTCCATTCCATAGTACAGCACACCACACTTGCAGGACACATTTGCAGATGTTCAGCAACTTTATTTCGAGCCATGGTAAATGGACATCCAAAGTCACTATTTAAGCAAGGCACACGTTCAAATGGACATAAAAGCCGATGCTCTTCAGCTTTACAAGAATGGAAAACTGCTCCACAAACTAATGGACAACCAATCAAGTCACAGGAAATGCCAGGCTCTGGTCTGGTCATACACCGTCTGCTGACACAATTCACACAGTGTGAATGCTGCAGGTCCTCCTCCATAATGGCCAGTCCAGCTCTAGCAGTTGAAATGGAAAAGATAAAATGTTAGAAAGTGTTTGAGTTTTCAAAATTGCTTAATAATATAAATTAAAACCACTGATGTATTTTAGCTTATGAGGGTGTAGTACATAAAGTACATATAAACTGTTAATTTTACATATGATCAAGACATCTTGAAAGACCTTAAAGCATTTCAAGTAACAATTCAGTACTTTAAAATATGATGTTTGTTTTTACATACTATAAACAAAATGACCATAAGGCATGTTAAAATACAACACTTAAATTCTAGTACTGTGTACTATATTAATGACTATAACATTGTGTATTTCAATTTTTAGATTTCAGAGAATGCTTTGGCTTGGCCTTTTAAAATTCAATTAAATTGACTTTGATACACCTTACACTGCAGACACCTCATCAAATTCCTGAGAATGTGGATTTCATTACTATACTTAACTAGAACTCTGAGAAGCTTTTATATTCCTTCTAAATACAAAAATTTCATATACATATTGATCTCTCATATATATGCCTAATATTCTACAAAGGCTAACAATAGCCTTAAGTAAAATATACAGGGAACTTACCAAGAAAATAAAAGTTCTAGCTCAAGTGCTGTGGCTGCAGACAATATACTTACTTCTGGGGACCTGTCTCCATTCATCATTGAACATAGTCAGCTACTACTATGCACCAGGCACCGCGTTCAGTGTGGCAATATAAAGATACGGTGCCTCCTTTCAAGGAGCTACAGCAGGAGGTCAGACAGTAATAATCCTATTACATTATGTTACTGACACAACGAAAGTAAAATGGTGACACAGAGAAGATAATTAATATGGGTAGGGATTAGGAAAGAATGCATAGTAGCCTTGAAAGATGAGAAGCCTTACATATGGGAAGATTATTTGGTAAGAAAGGGAGGTATTCAAGGCTGAAGTTAACAGCATATGCAAGTTCAGAAAAGTCTGAATTGACAAACATGTTCAATCTTTCTAGTATTGCTGGATAAAGGTGAAATCCAAGGTAGTTATGAAAGACAAGGCCAGAAAGGAATGAGACAAATTAAAAGTGCTATATGCTTCTTTAGGGTGTTCAGACTTTTAGTAACTAAAGGTTAGTGAGCTTTAAACGAGAAATACTACTTATAAAATAACATGAAAGGATTACAAATACCTAATAGTCCTGCTTTAAAATTAGAACTTTAACTTTCTGGTTACTGTTGTTGCTTTTTACTTTTTCCATTCTAGGACTTGAACACAGAACCTTTGTACTAAGCTACATCCTCAGCCTTTATTTATTTTTTATTTTGAGAGGGGTCTGGCTAAATCCCTGCAGGGCTGAACTCAATCTTTCCAGCCCCCTACTTCAGCCTCCTAGAATATTGGGGATTGCAAGCATGCACACCATCTGCAGCTTAGAATTTTAAATTTTTGTGCATTTTTGTTTGTTTGTTTGAGACAGGGTCTTCCAATGTACTTCAGATTGGCCTTGAACTCACTATGTAGCCCAGGCTGGCCTTGAACTCAGGGCAATCCTCCTGCCTCAGCCTCTGGAGTGCTAGGATTACGAGCACGTGCTGCCACACTCAGCTAGAATTTTAACTTTGAGAGATTACAAAAAAAAGTTTTGTAACAAAACAGAAATCATAAGCATGATATGTTGATTTAATTCTAATTAAGCCTTCAGAATTGTTTTTCTGTGATTTTCAACTTCTTTATTGGTTTATTCTTAACAAATCTAAGCTCATATACAGACTTCAACCCTCTAATCTGACTTTACCGTCACTACCTCTCATTAAAATTGCTCTACTGAGAGCCTCTTAAATCCAAAAGGAATTTGTTTCTAGAACCCCATCTTCCTTGGTCATATGGTTGTGATTAATCCCCCTCATTTGAATCGTCACATTCTTTAGTTTTCATGTTGTTACAATTCTCCAGTTTTCCTTCTACCTCTTGAGTTATTCCTTAGTCTTTTCTCAATGTTCTGTCTCTTTAGGGTTCCATATCACTACACATTCTCCCTGGATGCTCTCAACTTCTCCAAAAGTTTCAATTGCAACTCATATTCTAAAAACTTATTTATACATCCAGCCCAGATTCCTCTTCCAAACTCTGGACCCCAATGGCTATTTATTATGTATTTCTACTTGCAAAAGGCACAGGTAACTCAGCTCAGTACTTCCAAATTACATATGCATAATTTTCTAGATAAGGAGATATATAGCCTATTTTCTTCACTCAGTGCCATAGATATTACTTGCTCTCTAACATATTTAAATTATATCTTGATTCCAGGTGGCTAAAATAATCACTTCCCAGGTTGCTTTCTTTACTTCCAATTAAAGCTTGATTTTCCTGAAAACTGAGTAACAAAAACCTACCCAATCATCATTGGCAGAACTTCTTAATTAAGTAGCAGAGTTTTGAGTTGCTATTACGATATTTGATGATATCAAAGAAAGAAAAGGCACACATTTGACACCAAAACTGTTTTTAAATTGTGTAAAAAAATAATTACAAATTAGAGCTAGGCATGGTGGTGCATGACTGTATTAGCTTCTCAGGAGACTGAAGCACAAAGATCACAAGTTTGAGGCCAGCCTGGGTGACTTAGCAAGCCCCTGACGCATAACAAGAAATAAAACAGGGCTGGGGATGCAGCTCAATGCTAGAGCACCTGCCTAGCAAATATTAGAAGCCCTGGGTTCAATCTTGCTATGGAAGAAAAAGAAAAGACACTTTTAAAAGTTCACTTTCATAAATTTTATATGTTAGTAAAACATGTGAACAGAGCAGTAACTGTCAGAGCCTCTTTTGTATGGTTCCCTTTTCAATATGAATATTAAAACAAAAAACCCAAAAATCAAAGGCATCTATAGCAACAATTGCACAATACTTACTATTTATTAAAGTAGAAAAAAAGGGAACACTAACTATGTATATATTATCCTCCTTTACATGTATCAAGTCACTTAATGCTCTCAACAACCCAGATGAAATTATGGTTAAGAAAAGGGTAAGTGACTTACCCAAGATCTTACTTAAATCTACAGCTGATTAATATTCAAGGACAGTAACAGACATGTTCACTTATAAAAGTTTAATAAGGGATCTCTTCCATAACTGGTGATTCAATTTTAAAATGTTATTTGAGGAATGGAGATTACACAACTTTGCTTGTAGTTAGTTTATTCCAACAGTTAATCCCTAACTCTTGTGGTCAAGAAAGTCTTTTTGGCCCTTTCTAATTATAAAAGCACATTAATTTGCTTTGAACATATGTATTTTCAATTATTTTTAAAATTATTCACATGGGTGCTCAGTACAAGCATATGAAATATTACACACTTAATTCTCAAAATACACAACGGAAGAATCAAGTTCAGTTCCATTTCATAGTTAAATATATTAAGAAAGAAAAGACTACAACAGTCATTCTGGGGAATATAACACGGACACGGGCCTCATTTTTAAGATTTAAAACCCTATCAGATCCATCTTCTTTCCAGTCAAGTTCACTATCATCGAATTAAAAACACTTCACAAATCCTGGAAGTTAGCTTTTAAAATGCCAATCCATGATTTATCAACTGAACAGTGACACAGCAGATCCAGTAAAAACTGTTGCTAAAACTGAGGCTAAAGGTTCCAGACAAGCTTATTTAAAATTCAACATTTAAAACAAAAAACTCAACTAGAATCAGAATCCTAACATGCCAAAGCATATTTCTATTAATTTACACTTGAACAGAAATTATTGGAAAAAGTTTCATTAAAATAAAAACTATTTTTAAGTGATGAAATGCTTCACAATAGATTGAAGTTTTTCTAATAGAAGTTCCTTTCGAACTCTGTGTGGCTGCAAGCAATCCTTAAAAATAGTTTTTAACAAGGCATTTTCCCCAAACACTGAAATGAGACCTTGCCATTTAAGGCAGAGATAATACCCTCAAAACTGTTTCCAATTTATCAAAATACACAGAAGCAAATAATCATAAATTAACATGATTTTAAAATGTGCTAAGAAAAGCCACCTACTGTGCTCAAAACAGACTGCTCCCTCAGGATTGCTGCATACAAAATACAGACATACTTCCTACCCTTCCTTAACTGTTTAAGTCTCAGTTATGTCACTTTTCCATGCACATCAAAGACAATATAAGGATCCCTCCCTATATCTGCTCATTACATAATGCATTTTCCTTGGTAATACTAGTGACAAAGAAAATCACTATTGTGTTTTATATCCATCTCTACAGGAAAACTCTAAGCTCCAGGAAAGTCAGAAGAATCTCTACTTCATTTACTCTGGTGCTCCCTGAACTCCAATCTCTGCCTCAATTAGATTCATTTGTATAAATGCAGCAATGAAAGAATTACAATACAACAAAATAAAACCAATTCCAAACCCAAATGAGATTCCTGATTTTATGGAAATCTACATAGGCCATGAAAAGACTCCAACTTACAGACTAGCATTAGACAATCAAACTGAGTCAAAATTACCTCGAGTCTACTATAAAAAGTCAACGTGCTCGAACATTTCTTGAGCATGTACATAATTCATTCCAAGCAATATTTATGGAGTAAGATAAATCTGTTAAAAAAGTAAACCAATGGGCAAGGCAAGTCAAAGAAAATTAACTCATGTTACATTTATTTGCCTACAAATGCCTTAAGTTTACCCTTTTATGGCAGAGTAATGTGTAATTGTGTACAGACTAAACATTTTTTATCCATTCATCTGTTGATTGACATATACACTGTTCCCAAGATCTATCTACTATAAATTGTGCTGCTATAAACATAGGTAGGCATGTATCACTGTACTATGATGACTTTAACTCTTCTGGGACTATAGCTAGAAGGAGACTAGCTTGGTCAAATGGAATTTCTATTTTTAGCTTTTTAAAAAAAATTTCCACAGTGATTTCTGTAGTGATTATACTAGCTCCCATTCCTACCAACAATGTAGAAGAGTTCCCTGTTCCCACATCCTCCCCAGTATTTG